AAATTTACTCATCCTGCCCATGGTTCATTTTACCTGAGGTTCTTTGCATGAGGTTTTTTGCTCCAGGTTACCTTCTGCTCCATCCAGCGCCTTCTGCACAATCCAAAAAGTTGGATAACAACTTAGTGGTTCTCTCTCTGTCAAAGCCATTTACATAGAGAGTGAAAAAGTATCGATCTCCAATACCAGTCCCTGTGATTCTCCAATCATCATCCCCTTCTTCTCCCTTGGCCTGTAACCTTCCCCCATTCTAATCTGTCCTCGATCATCTCACCAGCTCCTTTCTCCGTATGAAAATGGGCCCTTCCCTGCTTCACCAGCAGCCGTGTGCATCAGGCTCCTGTGTGATGCTGTGTGAAACGCCCCTGGGAAATCCAGCTTGATTATATACACAATTTCACACCTGTCCACTCTCAGAAAAACCTCTTGAAAACTCCAGCAGATTTGCAGAATAAGAATTACCTTTTATAAAAATCAGCTCACATCTACAGTATATTTTATAACGCTACTTATAACCATATAAAATTTGAGAATTAAGGGTCTTGAAAGATTAAATTTAAACACCCCAAGGTCAGAAACCAAAAAGTCGAAAACCTGACTTTATCACCTGATCCCCTGCCCTGTTGTGCTTCCATCTAACAGCAGAATTTGGCTTTTGCCAGTCTTTGTTGCATGATACTTTACACAGTGTACAAGGCATCGTTAAAAAAAAGTACTTTTTCATTCAGTGCATGACAGATTTCAAGCCCAGGGTTGTAACATAAGATCTCTCAACTGTGATCACTAAAATTTAGTCTAAAATATGCATGCCCAATGGCTGCAGTTCTGACCCCTGCAGTGTACATGCTCAGGACACAACTCATCAGATCTCAAAAGCTAAACAACACTCATGGGAACCTGTGAGAACATCCTAAACTCAAAGTATGTCAGTGGAAATATGTCAGTCAGAAAATATGTGGAGAAACCCTGTCTCCTGCAGTGCTGGCTGAAGGGAACTTCTAAAATAGTTTTGCAAAACACAGCGCATTGAAATTGCTTCTGGGAGCAGGCAGAGTGCAATTAGCTGAATGGCGTGGAAATGGTAGGCAAGGAGCACTTGGTTAACACCTTTGCTAATAATTATGGTGGGCTTGTGTACCAAGCAGTGCTTCTGCTCCATTCCCATGCAGGACTGCCTGAGTCCCCTCATCTCTCCCTTCCCCACATGGAATGGGGCACTGAGCAGGAGTGTTGGGTTCGATCGACTGGAGGATGCATTGCAGACAATGGAGGACTTCTGAAGGGCCTGCTTATACTCACAACTACACCCAAGCAATCAGATAACTTCTGCCTCCGATATGCCTTGCCGATCCTGTCTCACCTGTATGTAGCAGATGAATGCCTCATTATCAGATTCCCCTGCTTGCTTCTCGGTAGACGTAAATTACCATGTTAAATAGGATAATAATAAACACTGGCCTTTAACTACAGCACGTCCTTGTTCACTCAGCATCCTACCTCTAATCTGATAACAGGTATGCAAAAGGCTACAAGGGAAGAGAGAGCTGGTTTCACATGTGCCTTTACTTGCTTCCTGGAGGGAGATTCCTGCACGAGCAGGCACAGCCTCACGCTTCATGGGTCCTTGAGCCCTTGTAAGAATTAACAGATATGGAAATGGGGGCAAGGTACAAAAATGATGCTGCAGATCCAACCCAAGGCTCTTCTGCCACATCTCAGAGAGCTAAGCAGCCCTGTGCCATCTGCCTGTGTCAGCACTCCAACTCTGAAACAAAAGCAGTGAGAGAAATATTTCCATCTTCTGAGAACAGTGGGGAAGAGGAGAAGCCTTGGTGGTGCTGGATGCTACCTTCACATTGAGCTCACTGCATTAGAGGTGGAGATATGTATTACTGGAGCTCTTTTTAACAACTGGCCTGAAAAAGTTACCTATCCACCCAGAATAAATTATATAAAGGAGGTAAGATGGACTGGGAGCAGAGACAGCTGATCTGCTGAGACTTTCAATCCCCTTAGCCCTCAGAAGCTGAAAGTGCCATTTAATTCAGTGCTACAGGATTTCCTGAACAATTATTTTATTCTGTATGTGTGTGAATAGTGTTTGCCTAATCCCCAGGATTTCTCTTGTTGCAGAAAGAGGAAGAAGTCTTACAAAACAACAGGGGATAAACATATGAAGTCAAATTACTTTGCTGAGCTTTTTCACGCGTCTGAAAAGAACCAGAGGGCTGCAAACTCTGGACAGTACAAGGAGTCTCCTACTTAAGAAGGTTATTCCAGCTATCACCAACTGAAATGCAGCCATTCCTGTGGTATAAGACCAAATTAACAAAGCTGCACAGAAGCGGCATTTCTGTGGAAGTAATATGTTTTTTCTCTATTTTTCCCAATTCCATCAAACTTGGCTTTCCACTTCTCTTCCTTCAGCTTCAGCTTTTCAGAGCTGGCAAGGAATACAAGAAGTAGGAAAGCAATGAACTAGGCCGTCTGTCGTTTGAGGGTATGAAAGGCAGTCTTAATAACAGCAGGAGAGAGAGAAGCAGCCGATGGTTATTTTTGACAGAACTGGGAGACACTCGGATTGCTGCTTCATAAACAGCTCATCAGAGGAAAAGTCTGTGCAAATGGCAGAAGCCCCTTCAGCCGCACTAACAACACAAAGCCCTCATTTGGTGTAAGAAAAATCTTTCATAAATCAAATTTTTTTTCTTTCTTCAAAGAAAAGAGCCAAGCCCAACTCCAAATGTGTAGCAACACTAACTTGCATTTTCATCACAGCAATTCATGCTATTAAATACCAATTACATGGCACAGGCAAAGCATTTCTCATGCACTGTGATGAGAACAAGACTATCAGATATTTTTCAGATTGATTTTTTTTTGTTTGTAACAGATTCTTAATCTCTCACGCAGAATCCTTTGTGCTTCTGGATTAAGAAAATAAAGATCATTCTTGGTCAAAAGATACCCACATGAAACTCAAGAGGTTTCTATATCTGGCAGCTTCACTGGCAGCCTCAGCCAGGAGGAAGCACGGAGATAGGCTGCTCCACAGCTTCCAAGGGAAAAGCTGACCACCGGAGGACCTCACTGCTGTGTCAGGGAAATATAAGTCTGAAGGTTGTTCTGTTTTTTGGGGGGGATTAATTTCATTTACTCTTAAAACACTAATGCTTGAAGGGACATAAAAGCATCATGTCTGAGCGGCTGAAAAGAATCTTAGCAAAACAACAACAACAAAACGCTATTCATGAATACAGGGACTACAAGGCTTCATAATTAGTCTACAATGATTTGCATGACCTGTGCTTAATCCTTATGTGTTCCAGATGCCTGATGGACAGGTACGTATAATGGAAAACACTACAAAAATGGGAATAATTGACTTTCCTTTGTCTAACCACAGTATCGTTCTAATCTCATTTACTGCTTTAGTGGGAAGGCATTTCTGTGGCCCAGGAATCAGCTCTTCCTAAAATGGCCAAGTCTCAAAGTTCAGTATTTTAGTGGTTTAAACTAAGTAGGAGTTGCTCATCCATAGCAGCCTGGACTGCTGAAAATCCAGTTGCCTGACCTCTTAATGCTGCCTTCTATCCAGTGTTACAAGGAAAAGATACTTGGTGAGGGCACCGGGCTAACAGAGCAGGGGGCTGCACGCTCAGTTGCATCACTTCTAGGGAACAGAGGGAGGTGGAAGCAGAACAGAAACACTGCAATAACAAATACCTTCTGCAGTACTGGTGGAAGACAGCAATCTAGTACAGGACTTGATGAGCAGCAGGGTACCCCTATGAGCCCTTTACCTAATGTCACCATGATTCTGAGACAAAATACCTGTTCTTTTAAGCAGAAACAACATATCAAAAGATATCACTCAAAGCACAAGACTGCTTAAATTGGGACAGCAAAGAGGAGGAAATGCTGAGCCTGGGCAGAGCTGCGCACAAAGCATGGGAGCACCCGGAGTTGTGCTGTGTGCTGCACGTGACAGCCACCACCTCTCACTGAACTGGAAATCTTGAGGGCGCTGCTTTGCACCGTTAGCTAGCTGCTAGCCCATAGAATCACTCTGCGAGATTTCCCCATGAAGGATTTTAAATGCAGTGCTGGGAGAGGACTAAAAACGAGTAACTATCGAGTCATTTCACAACCAAGCACAAATGCCTCTGAGTGGTGCCAATTATTTGCAATGCCAGCAACAATTTAATATATGAAACTCGACAATCTCAAACTGTAAGTGAAAATACACAGAGAAAAAAACACATTCTGTAAGACAAAATATTCACTTTAAGGCTACACATGAGACTATGTTATAATTATATAATACACAGAATTGTCACGTGCCTAAATATGCATAGGCATACAGCTAAAGAAAGCAATACAGTTAAGGACAAATGCTTTGCATGTGGCAGAAAAATTGCAGAAAGAAAAAAACCATCCTTTTCTATTAGAAAAATACCGTTGCCAAAAATCAATCCTTTAGCATGACCACAAAAATAGGAAATCAGATTTTTGAGAAAGGCCAGGGCAATTCTATTTTTTAATTGCTATTGCCTCTGGAGCAATGATGTAGCAAGAGCCCACTGCTATTCTTTCCCTCCTTCTGTATCCTGAAAATCATTCCCACCTGGGGTGCAAAGAGAGGAAACAAAAGGAAGTAGAAAATTATATTTTTCATGAGCTAATCCTAGGAAAGTGACCGCTCAGGTTTCCATGTCTCTTGGCAATAATAATTTAAACAAGGATGGCAATCTTTTGTTATTTTTTGCACAGTTGGAATGCTCGCTTCCAGATAACAGACATTTAAACTGCAATTTAAGAAGAAGAGGAAGAGAGCAATCGATAGGTATTCAGGAGTTCTCTCCTCTTAGGAATGCTGCATAGCTCAACACAGTATGCTTCAAAACAGACAGCCCAGATGCAAGCCTCTTTGGAAATTCTAAAGGCAAGCAAGATCACTGAAAAAATCCCTGAAAGCAAACAGAGTACAACTACTGTACCTTTACTTTGGGGAGGATTCTGACTTCTGTCTCGGAGAACATTAATCTGGTAGACAGCTCCGTAAGGCTCAAAAAGTTCTTTTAACTCTTTTTCCGACCATGAACGGGGAATCTGTCCAACAAACATCTTAATGGCATCTGGGTCTGGTTGGTCTGAATGATCCAAAGCTCCATTCATCTTGTTAGCTGTGCCGTTACTAGAAAGTGGAAGAAGAGATGAAAAAGAAAAGGCAAGTTAGGAGACTACGCAGTTTTCATGTGCACTAGATACAAAAGATGATGTCAATTGGCACAGAGCAGGAAAAAAAATCGGTATTTAATTAATAGCATAAGTATTATGTACAAAAAACAATGAGATTACATTTTTCATTGAGTCTGGTTTTCTCTGCAGGCTGCTGCTTAATGTCATTATATAAGAAGAGAGCTGCACCACGCAAGCCAGTACTTTTGCATTTTAAAGCAGAGGAGTGTGGCAAGTAAGTACAGATTTCTCTCCATAGCCGTTGTAAACAGAACTGCTGCGAATTCTCACTGAACTGGCTACTGGCAGAAATAAGGCAGTGCTGGGGTGTGCGTGTGTGTGTGTGTGTTTTGTAATAAAGTCACATGAAAGGAATATGAAACACTTGGCAATCTGTCAGATGACTAATGCAAGATGCCAGCGATGAATTTGCAGATTGTGTGAAGCATCCATGTGTGCATCAAATTAGTATGATATTGCCTAGAATGGAAAACACTCCAGCTATGCGGCTGGTTGCTGCCGATTAGTTGCCTACGCTCTTTAAAAAGGAAAAGCAGTCTGGAAAGTGCCAGTCTAAAGCACATTGTTTATGGCAGCCTGGCACACAAAAATGCACCATTCAAAAGGAGAAAGCAGTGGTAAAATTGCTCGGAAAATTAAAATGCTGCTTCAGAAAGTTTTTCTCCATGCAGAGGACATGAAGTGTTTGAAATTTTTCACACCCTGTAAATTGTTCCCCTATCTGATCTCCAGATGTACAGCTAACTTCAAAACAGCTACACACTTCTGCTGGGGAAAAGAACTTAGCAACCAAAAAAAATTCCCTGCTCTCCGAGACATGTGACATATTACAATTTAGGACGAGTACATCCTTGTAAAGAAAACAAAGAATTTTAAATTCTAAATGAAGGTAAAATTAAACCCCCCAACTCTTCTGCTTCTATTGACAATCAAGGATGATAATTTCAATTTGGCTAGAGATTCTGTAAGTGATATGAGATTTGGATGCTTGAATTTCAAGGAGGACCACCAATGAGATGTGACTTTCAGTGCGCTCCTCCCATTCTCCCACTGGGGGTAGTGAGGAGAAGGCACGCATTCAGCAGTGCTGAGAGGTGATCATCCCAACCTTCACGCATCTCAGAGCCACCTGCCACTACTGAAAAACTTGGCTTCAATTACATGTTCTCCATTTGACAGTTGTTCAAAAGAAAATGACCACAGGAAGGCTTGGAAGAGCCTGAGATCTGTACAACCAGACCAAAATCATTTCATGTTTGAAAAAAGAAAAGCCAAGAATGGCAAGGAAGAAACAGCATTGTGTCATACCCCTGCATCACAGCTGGAACACATGCCAGGACAAATTTTAATCCTCTGTGCTCCATCTCCCTGGAAGTGCAAGGCACCTGAACATATTAATATGCCCCTAGCAATTTCTGCACTTGCCCTGCTTACTGCAGGAAGGAAAAATTATATTAAAGGTAGACTGTAAACCAACAAGAAGAAGCTGCATTGTCACTTGTGAAGTGCTTTTAACATGGATCAGCAGGCAATGGGATTTATCACACTCATTTATTAGACAAAATTCCCATTGATCCTAGTGGGAGTCTTGCCTGAATAACAGACTGAAGGATTTGGCCCAGCCTTCTCTATCGTGTTTCATGCAAAAATGCCCTCTCTTGTTTTACAGATGCTCTTTGAGGCTTCTCTGCAGGTCCCAAGAACACGAATGCAGCCATTGTGATTTCTCCATTAGAAGCTGTGTTTTTTACATAGACCTAATATGAGACACCTCCATTGATACCTTAAACAATCCCCACCTCAGACTCTAGGAAACAAAAAACTCCTGACTCTTTCTAACGATACACAATGGGAGCAACTTTCAAGGCTGCCATGGAGTGCTGAGCACCCACACGACATGCAGAGCTCTGGAAAAATACATTCTGCTGTTTCTTCAGATTTCCTATTCGTCTATGCAATGCTTAAAACAACCTCCCTAGTAGGAAGAAAAAATAAATCCCTGACCTATAGCTTAAAATAGTGGAGGAAGATACTTCCACACTATTTTGTACCTGCAAAGACAAGAAAAGGCAGCAACTGCGTCCTGCAGCTTTGTGCTGTGCTCAGGTGACTGTTCCTTCAGAAATCTGCTTCACATTTCACTTCATTTGTTCTTTGCTTTGTTTACACTAAAAAATGAGTTGAGTTCCTTTTTAAATTATGCCCTTCATCCATTCTCTTGTTGGATCTCTTCTTTAAGAAATCCACACGTAATTACTGTGTTAGCCCCAAATTACAGCAGAGGTCGTATTTAATAAAGGATAAATTTATTCCTTTGCTTTTTCCTTTACCCAAACCACCTTTACCACTGAGAGCCCTACTACAATTTCCATTGCTAACAAGACAATTTTGAGGAAACCACAAAACCTAACACTTCTAACTGTTTATTCAGGTTAATTGCTCCATTACCATCAAGTTCCTGCTTTCAGCTAAAGGTGCAGGCACAGGCGAAGATCTCTTCTAATTCAATACAGTGCTTACACACTTTTTTTACTTTGGCGGGGCCGAAGAGCAATTACACTGATCATATTCCTTAAATGCTTTATTGGATAAAGATGGTTGAACGCTCTGACTGCAGGTGTAGGCTACAGTATGCTGTGTCACAATGCTCCAGGGGACAGGTTTTGTCACTAGCTGCCTGAATTAACTTGGGCAAGTCATTAAAACTTCTCCGGATTTAATTCCACCATCCTCTGACAGCTCTGCCAGTCTGCAAACTGCTGCGGATTTAGGAAAAAAAAACACAAGCATAATTTCAAGGTTTTTCATTATAATTCTTTCCTACCATAGGGTTGGAGTTGTACTCAGCTGCCAACGTTTTGGAAATAGGGACAGGCAAGTTGAGCCTAGAGGGAGGGCAGTAAGCTTTGCCAGCATAGTCAGGCTCCTCATTAAGTTACGTTTGACTTCAGTGCAAATGAATGCTACTGAGGGTTCTGGAAGAACGGTTCCCCAACTCTGCTGGGATTTCAAGGAGGGCATCAGCACTTGCAAAAGCATCCTCATCCACAGTTGACAGTAGGTAGAGGACTACAGCCAACTTGCATGAACAGAACAAGTAGATAAAAGGGAGATAACAATGAAAAAAATCATCCAACAAAATGGAACAGTTTTATACAGTCTATGGATTAAATCCTTTCCGCATACTTGAATCATGCACTGAGGAACAGTAAGTATAAAGCACACCTGACTGAGAGTTCAGCTCTCACTGAGCTTGTTCAGGTGAATGCAAAATCCAGTCACACATTTTTGACCCCCTCACAAACTCACTCTGCTAGAGATGAGCTCCCTTCTTCTCTCCCAGTCTCCACCTTCACCATTCTGGCAGGAACTGCTCTGGACAAAGACCCTGTAGTGGCCAACAGCCGTATAGTTTTTGGTCACTTTTCCCTGCCACACTCACTCCCAGAGGCAGCAGTTGCTTCCTGCTCCCATTTTCCTCACCCACTTTACCCAGGAAGAAGAATCACAGAACCACAGAGTATTCCACAGAATATCCCAATATCCCATGAGCCTTCCCCTCAGTCTCCTTCTGAGGCCAAACAAATCAAGGGACTGCAACTACACATCATATGCCTTGTCCTCTAGGCCCTTCACCATCTCCATAGCCCTCCTTTGGACACTGTTTAATAACAACACAAAAAAGAAATCACGCATTAAAGTCTTCAAGAGATTTCAAGCAATTTTTGTGAAAGCTTAGGACCATTTCTTGCAAACATGAGTGTAGAGATAGCTGTGGCTAGGAGATACTACTAAGAAGAGAATCCCTTGACAATTACTGTCAGTATCCAAATGATGACATACATAAAGAAAGAGAAGAATTAGATTATGTGGCTTGCTGTCTCTACACTGCAGCAACCCTTCCCTCTGCGGCCAATTTAGCCCATTGGACTCTGGGATGACCCAGCACATCATCTTTGCTGACAAGGTGTCATCTGTATTGGAGAGAACAGCCTGAGGGCAGAGATTAAGCCACCGAGTTGCTGGCTGCTTGTGGTCGCTGCCAGAGCATCGTCTCTCTCAATTTGTGCCAATTTTCTTTCTAATAACCTAACTACCATTCCATCATTTCAGCAAGTTGACAGGGCCACTCTTTGAGGAGCTAGAGATTGTTTTAATATCACTGCTGCTTAAGCAGGGGCACTGGCAAAACCCACTAGATGGCTTCTCTGCCTCTCCCATTCATATCTGTCATTATGGCAAGACTGCTAAAGTGCACTGACTGCTAAGGAGGGCAGTCTTAAGGAACAAAATCTGAATCAAAAGGAACCCTCTTAAATTCATCACTGTCAATATATTTAGCATTAATCCCTGCACACTTCCATTCCTGAACAAGATGCCAAGCTAGGTGCTGAAAACCTGTTGTTATGGGGACTGAATAGGTTTGCGTGAAAGCTGTGTTTTAAATCCATTTTCAGTCCTAGTAAATTGTTTCAGTTTCTCTTGCAGTCCTCACCCTACTTTGGTTGCTTTGCTGTTTTGTTGGAGATTTTCCCTTTCCAACTTAACAGTAAACGACGAAACAGCATCCCTTGGAAGAACATTTAACTCCTAAGCATCAAAAGACAAGAAAAGCATGATGACAGAGAAGCTGGAAGTGTAAAGATTACTAAATCCAGCCTGGCACAAAGACATTTGCAGGCATCAAGGTTTTACAGTACCAAATATTTACATTTGAGCTGTGTGATCACTGTCAGGATATGGGATGAGCACCAAAGGGACACCACCACTTTGAAGGACTTCAACTGCTGGCAGAAGAGATGAAAAACCATCACCGTACCATGCTTGAAAATCCAAACTGCTGGATTATGAGCAAATTTTATCTGGAAGGACTCAAAAGGGCTTTATAAGCTCATTGTTTAGAGAGGAATGACTTCATTGTAAGGTGACAGACGG